GAAAGTAAACCTACAGACATCGGTCTTATTCAACAAAATCTGCCTTTATGTATATGTATATATATGTCTGTGTGTGTGTGTGTGTGTGTGAATATCACCATCATGACAGACTTTTTCTTAGATTTTTTGTGCTTATTTTTACAATATATCATAGATATGATAATCTTTAAATAAATATATGTTTGTAATAATTCACATACGTGCTGTTAAATTTGCAGATTTAAATGTACTAACACAGTGACAATATTTAATTATTTTTAATAAGTTAATTTTTCAACGTAGACTTAGTTAATTTTTTAAATAACAAATAATGTTCCAAATATATAGAAAATAGGTTAATTATAGAAAGTTAAACATAACCTGAACAAACTATTAAAAGTATTTAAGCAACCTGTTAAGCACAAACTTTTTTTACCATAAACACAGATGTAACTTAAAGAGTTAAACTTAGACTTTTTCCATAAGATATATCATAATAGTGCAACTTACATTAAACATGTTATGAGTTTTATATTACATGTTCGTTTAAACGGCAATATATTTTACTTTTTATTATCCTGAATTTCTATAATTTATGATACACTAGAAATGTTAGAGGGCTCTGTACAATTCCTCTGAAACGCTTACACTCTAGCCTCGTTTTGTAATTAGTGCTTTGTCATTGGCCTGTAAGTAAGATTATACCAAACTGTTTTAAAGGTAAAGATTTTTTTTTATCATATCAACATAAGTGATCATTCGGTATGGCAGGTATTGAAAGATATAGTTTTTCTTTGACAACTTTTAGCCCTTCAGGAAAGTTGGTACAGATTGAATATGCTCTTGCAGCAGTTGCAGCTGGCGCCCCTTCTGTTGGCATCAAAGCTTCGAATGGAGTTGTACTGGCTACAGAGAAGAAGCACAAATCTATTTTATATGAAGAGCATAGTATACACAAAGTGGAAATGATTACTAACCATATAGGAATGGTTTATAGTGGAATGGGCCCTGATTATAGACTTTTAGTGAGGAGAGCAAGAAAACTCGCCCAACAGTATTATCTGACTTATGATGAACCAATCCCAACAGCACAACTTGTTCAACGAGTGGCTTATATCATGCAAGAATACACACAATCTGGTGGAGTCAGACCATTTGGTGTTTCCTTACTTATTGCTGGATGGGATGATGACAGGCCATATTTATTTCAGTGTGACCCTTCAGGTGCATATTTTGCTTGGAAAGCTACAGCTATGGGGAAAAACCATGTAAATGGCAAAACATTCTTGGAAAAAAGATACAGTGAAGATTTAGAGCTCGAAGATGCTGTACACACTGCAATCCTGACGTTGAAGGAAGGGTTTGAGGGACAGATGACAGCAGACAATATTGAAATTGGAATCTGCAATGCCAAAGGTTTTCAACGTCTTTTGCCATCTGAAGTAAAGGATTATTTAGCTAACATTTCGTAGCTGCTCATGATTTCAGTTTTCTTACTTTTGAAGAAAAGTAACTTAGCTACAAGTCTTAATTATTGTATTGTAGAATGCTAACTAACTATACGTTACGTATGTGTCAATTTGATTTTTTTTTTGTTTCCTAGGTATTGCCTGTTTGTATAACATTTTCAATTGAACATGTTGATTTTTTCTCTGTTTGGGTTTTGTCAATCATACTTTACTGAGAATGATACCATTCAATAATATGTATAGTATGTTTAAACATTCATATTGCTTTTTTTATCTGATGTACGTCTTTAAAATCTTTATTATGTAAAACAAAAATATGATAGCGTTAGGAGGTATAAGGTAATTAAAAAAACACGGATGCTAAAAAACATGTAAACCATACATAATGGAGATTAAAGAAAAATGGTGAAAAATTGACCAATTTTTGTTGTTAAATAAGTATATAAAATCTATCAAGCATACGGCTAAATTTTTGTACTAAAAAAATTGTTTTTATCACCTGCCAAAAGTATTTGACACCTTACATGTTATATTTTTCGAAGTTAAAATTTCAATTTACCAATTTATATACACATCATAGCTGAGAGTAAAATATTAGTAAGTATGGTTTTATGATGATGGTTGAAAAGGCTACAAGGTAAAATAGGAATATATTAGACCAAAATAATTTAAGGCTATTCAGCTCAGTGATGTCACCTTTGGAGTAGACAACCAAAACTAAATGTAGCTTTTTCACACTCATGTACCTTTATAACAAAAGTTTAAAAATTGTAAACATTACATCATCACTTCAGAAGTTTGTAACTTTTGACGTAGTTTTTTTAAAGAATAAGTCTGAATCTGGACTGATACTCCATTTTAAAATGTAATGTATCAATTGGTAGTTTGCTTATAAATTATACTAAATTCTCTTAAAGTTCTTGGACACTTGTGTAAAATCACAAATAAGTACAGTTAAGAGGAACCACCTTCTTTTGTTTATGCAATAGAACCATTTTTACTTGAGAGTGATTTACAGTCTGAAATACACTCATAGGTTTTGACACTTCATTGTGTCATATTCAATTTAAACTTCAACATTTAGTTACAGTGGCTGGCAGCCAATTAGATCACTGATAAGTAAAATGAAGACAAAACAGTTATTTGTTTTTATATTAGCAGTAAACATATATACTTCTAAAACAAATCTTTATTGTAATGGACCAAAATAAAATGGCTGCCAATGTTTTGCCAATTCAGCAATTGTAGTTTCAGAAATATACAGAAATTATCTACTGCCTCTAAACTCATGATATTAATATTACTAATCAGAATCTCATGTTATAAAGAGAGCTTGCAAGTCAGTCAAATGACCACTTATTTTGTGACCTGTAAAATAATCTAAAACGTGTATTAAATACCCACATATTAACCGAGTTTTGAATAATGTTTAGGCCCCCGTTATACTCCTACTAGTCCAAGGTATTCAATTCAAACAATTAAAAATCTGTTAATTGTATCATAGCCTAATATTTGTTACCTTTTTATTTTGTAACTATTATTTATGCATATTAATATAATGCATGAGTTTAATGGGTCCCTGCTCCTCACCTGTTGTTCACTGTGGTGTATCGTATCATTTATTTTTATGCAATCAATAGTTATCATTTTTTTAAACTTGCAATATAACTTCATAATAATGGTATATTATTAAAAAGAACAACAGTTATTTGGTATAATGACTGATAATATTATTTATTTACAAGGCACCGAGTCAAAATTAAAATGGCTGTACTTTATGAAAAACTGGTTTTCTTGTTGTCAAAAGGCTTTAGACAAATCAAAAGCTAGTTTCTTTTTTATTTCATGTAATTTACATTAACTTAAGTAAAATTAATGTATGAAGTTAACAAAAGAAAGGTAAAATATTTGACCAGTCAAACATTAAATTCTGGTTATGAACAAGTTATTACAAAAGAGAAAAAAACAACAACTATTAAACCAAAGAGAAATAATACAGTTGACATTATTCAAACTGTTGTATTTGTTGCCATTATGTGAACACATTTGGAAAGTGCCTAATTAATAGGCCCTTGTCATTCATAATATTTTAAAAACTGAAGCACTCATTATGGTTTTTCTTTGCACACTTGTAGATCAACAATGTAATGGTAAACTTGGAGTATTGATGCGAAAGTCCTACAAAATATTTCTGTAAGAAATTTTAATGTACTTGTTAAGTTCAAAAGTTCAGCTGTTGTGCTTTATTAATCTTAATTGTGATAAAGTATAAACCTTATAAAATATGATCAGTTTGAAGATTGTAATTAATGGTGTGGGTTTACACAAAGAATGGATTATTCCAGGACAGGCATATATTAGTCAAAACCATTTAATAAAGAGTAAAAACATAAATTGTACTTTCCAATAGCTTTGATGTTTAGTTTTTACAACTGTAACTTGGGATAGTATTAGGACAATAAGTCGGAAAGCTTGAAAAGTGAATATTAAAGAATTTGAAAGTCCTAATTCTGATAGTATCTTGCTGATGAAAGATATGACACCATGTCTTTGATGTTTGATAAAATATTAGAGTATCAGTAACAGATTTTTTTTAACTCTTCTGTTGTAGTTTTTTTATGAATTTCTAAAGATAGCATTTAAAAAGTGCATTCCAGACCTAATTATTGTAAAGTGTTGTTTTAATCAAATTTGTGAGGCCTACTGTCATAATTGGTAAATTGGTAGTAATGGAAAGGACAATTTCACAAAATCCTTGAAACTTCACTCAAATTTTGATAGGTTAATTCAATTATTAAATATTCAAAGCTCATATATATTTTTATATAGTAAAATTCACAAGGTGTCAAGTGGGTAATTTTTTCTCCTAAGACTGTGTCATGAGCTATTTCTTAAAACCATGAGCTTGCCCATCACTTACAATGTTCAATATCCCATAACATTCACTGAGAAGTTTACAATTGTAACCTTGCTAACACAAAAACTTGTATTGATCATTTATGTACCAGACTAACCTGAAGTCAGTGTTAATCATTGTGCTTTTCATTAACTTTTTGAAGATGGAAATTCTTGCATATTCTGTTTGGTAGCTGGACTAACTGGTAAAGTTTTACGAACAGTATAATAAAGATGAACAAGTGCAATCAAAACTAATTATAGATTATTCAAGAGGCTTAAGGTAAGACTCGTATTGCAGCTTTATGAAAGTTACTTAGTTTCTAAAATGCTTTTTCATTGGAACAATGAATACCAAAATACATTTGATATCTCAACCAATTATTAAAGGTTATATAACATGATGTTTATTATTCAATTAACACTACCAAGGCATTGCCCTAATAATAAAATACAGGGGAAATCATTTACACGGAAATAAAATTACAGTTTGATTTAGATTATAGTAAAGTCATCATAGAGTACTATTTTTCTGGTTCCTTGGACATAAAGAATAAGAAAAATCTCTGATTCATTTTTTTGAGGAATGATCTTGAATAAAGATATTACTGATCTACTAAATGACAGTTTACCAACTCAGATATTTATATTTATCTATGTTGATGATATCCAGCAAAGCAGAGAAGTTCATGCCACTCACAAAAACAGATTTGTGGATCTTGTATGCTTCCCATCAGGAGTGACAATTTGGCCACAAAGAATGAGACAGAACATGCAAGTTTACACAAGAAACCAATGTTTAATTGAAATCTTGACTCTTGCTAGTACATATGCTTCCCTCTGTAAGTTAAGCTAGCATATAAAAATAAAAGAATTACAAACAGAGAGTGTCCCAAAGTTAAAAGGCAACACAAGAAGTTAACTCTCGACTCAACCTTACTAACAATAATAAACTGAGCTATGAGTAAAAACCTGTGCTTCACTATCATGTGAGGCCAGTTATAACTTATTCACTGACTGGCAAAGTTAAACAAATACTTAATTAAATTACAGGCGAAAGCCAAATAGTTTACACATGAATGAAAGTAGAAGTTAATTTTAAACTTACAAGAGAACTTGAAGAGTTCTTGGCCAGTAGAAGTACACAAACCTGTTATACACAATTGAAAGTGAGAAATTTAGTTAAAATGTGTGTAAAATTCTAGGTTTATTCCTGCTCTCTCAGTCCTCAACACTTAAATATGGCAATAAACTCTCAAGTTCGTGACACAGTGATTGGTGCGTAACAGATCAGTTGGCCAATGAGCAAGTTCACCTGCTTGGTCCTCTGCTGTTTGTGATTTATGTTAATGATATTGACTCTGGAATGACTAACAAAATTTTGAAGTTTACAGATGACATTAAGATTTTTGGGGTGGCTAACTGTATCAAAGACGTTGCACAATTACAGGGAGATTCAGATCATTTAATGCATTGGGCCAATACATGGCGGATGATGTTTAATTATCCAAAATGTAAGGTGATGTTTATAGATTTTCACAATTCAATTTATTATTACAATTTAAATGGGAATACATTAAATACTGTGGTTGAAGAAAAAGATATTGGTGATGTGAGTGAAAAATCACTAAATTCATCTAAACATTGTATTGTATCTAGCAATAGGGCTAATAAGATTTTGGGTAGTATCTATGGAAATATTGAATGCAAGACAAAGGATATTATTGTTTCACTTTATACATCATTTATAAGGCTTCATTTAAAGTACTGTGTGCAGTTTTGGGCTCCCTTCCTCAAGAAGGACATTGAATTGTTGGAGAGCCACTAGGATGTTACCTGGGATAGTGGTATTGTCCTATGAGGGGAGACTAAAATCTCTAAACTTGTTTTCTGTGGAGAGGAGAAGGGTTGGAGGGAATTTGATTGAGATGTTTAAGATTATTAAGGGTATTGATAATATAGATCTATCAAACTTTATTGTGTTTAGCAGTGAAAGCAATAGGACAAGGAGTCATAAATTCAAATTTTGGCAACATAGGATTTGTCTGCAGTTTAGGTAGTATTACTTTTTAAACATGGTGGTTGGCTTTTGGAATGAGTTGCTTTCAAGGGTGGTGGAGGAGGCAGAAAATTTAACTTAGTTTAAGAAAAGATTGGATGAATACATGAGCAGTAAGGGGAGGTTATAGTTGGGAGCTGGAAGGGACATCCTTGTTGGGCTAATAAGCTCCTTTTTGTTCTTTTAAAATTTTATGAACAACTGTGCAATTCACTAACAAGAATATCTTGACACAATAATTAAAAGCACATTGTTATTCCAGTTAGAGAAACAGATAAGAAGGCACCTAACCTCCACTTGATCCAATTAACCGATGGGAAAGTTAAAGTATTACAGGTCTAATGATATATTTCATCATAAAGTCTATTTTCCAAATAATGTTTTTTCTTTATTTTATAAGAACGTAAAATTCTTTGGTATTCCAAAATTGATTTTTTCATTTCTTGATCCGATGAATTACTCT